GCAGAGTGGCTCGAATGGTAGAGTGCCTACCTAGCAAGTGCAAGGCCCTGAGTTCAACCCCTAGTTCTGCCAAAAAAGCAAAAAAAGGTAAAAGCTTATTTGTGTCTTTTCATGCTCACATTCTGCAGGATCTGTATATAGTATATCAAACTTAGAGGTATGACCTTAAATTGACTTTTTTCTTTTTCTTTTTGGTTAGAGGTGTGACTTTAAAATATAAACTGCTTAACAACTGAAAAAAAAAAGAAAGGTTTATTTTGGCTTATGAGTTCAGATGTGTCAGTCCATGGTCACTTTCACTAGTGCTTTGGGCCTACAGCAACACAGTGCACCACGGTGGTAGCACATGCAGAGGAAGCTGCTCACCTCATGGTGACTGGGATGCAAAGGGAGAGAGGAAAGTGTGGGGTCCCAGTATCCCCTTCAAGGACACACCCTGGTGACCTTTCTCCCACTAGGCCCCACTTGCTGAAGGTTCCACAGCCTCCTGATAGTCACAGCTGCTGACCAGGAAATAATGCTGTGCTTCACAGGAGTTCCCTTACATGTCACCGTTTTCATGGAGAGAAATACAAATGAAGGTGCAGTGAGGCTGTACCTGGCCCTGGGATGGCTGGAATGTAAAAGGCCATAAGCTGATGTTGAGACTGTGGGGACCCTGGCCTGTGTGCACTGCAGGTGGAAGTGTAACGTGGTGAAGCCACTTCAGAAAGGTCTGGCAGTTTCTTAAAACTGAAATTCAACTTCACTGTACAACTTGCCATCCCTTGTGTGGGAGGTACCCAGAAAAGTGGCTGCATACTGTGCGGGCTTGTCCACGGACCTCAGGAAACACCCATGTGTGCCAGCTGGTGGGTGGACAAGCTGCCTCCCCACAACAGAACCCACAGCAAGCAATCCACACACACAGCCCATGGGTGCTTGTCTGCTAGGAGCTTTGTGCTCAGCACAGAGCCAGCTCCCCATGCTACATACTGTGGGCTCCACTAACCTAAAATCCTAGAGGGCTCATGATCCGTGTGGGAGAGGCTGAGGCTGTCTGGGTGCTGGGGTGTGAGAGGCCATACAGGGCCACCAGGAATCTGTCTTTGGCCTCTACGTGGCTGCTCTAACAGTGGGTTCCGAGTGTGTGTGGGGGTTTTGGCTTTTGTTTTCGACCAATGTGTTGTGGTTATGTGTGTGGACACCACAGCCCTAATGTGTGTGGTCCACTTCACCCACTCTGGGGTGTGCTCGTGTGCAAGGCAGGGTGAGGAGGGTCTCGGCTGCCCCAAGGCCTTGCTCAAAGAGGGAAAGCTGTAGACAGCCCTGCCCCAGGCTGCAGGCACATGGGAAACAGCTTGCATCTGTAAGAGAGAGAGGTGGGAAGGTGCGGGGGCACACAAGCACTCAAAACACCAGGATGGTTGCTGTGCCTTGGGGCGGCATCTGGGTCATGATGAAGCTCTGATGCTGAGCTGTCTGCACCTTCCTTAAATGAGTCCCACTGAGCACAAGTTCTGTCTTTCTGTAGGATTCCCTAAAAAACACCAGGCTCTGACTTCCCTTCTCTGGCTGGTTCCCATGCTAGAGCCTGACCTGCTGTGTGCTCGCTGTCTCTGTGTCTCTGTCTGTTTCTCTCTGTGTGTGTCTCTCTCTCTGATGATTTTTGGCATTGCTTTTATGCTAATTTAATAAAAATAACCCAGGGGATTTCCTTCTTTTTTCTTCATTCTGAGAGCGTTCTAAATATCGTGGGAATTATCTGTTTCTTGAATGTTTGAAAGATCCCATCTGTGAATTCTTAGACGTTTGTCTCAGCTTTTTATAACATTTTAAAAAATGTATTTCATTCACGGTTTCAAATGTATTAGGGTAGAGAATACAGTGTATTACTTGATCCTTTTAATTTCCTTTCTGTCTGTTGCATTCTGTCTTGTGCCCTAATTCTGGGGAACACAAGTTCTTTTCATACTTGCTTTCTGTCTTCTTGCATTGAGCCCCTGCTCAGCCTCATTTATGGGTTTTAAGATTCAGCTCCTGCTGACCTGTGCCTTCTGTGATGTGTTGATGGTGCTGTTAGCTGCAGCCCTCTGGTCTTTTTCTGTCCTTAGAGAATCATGACAGCAAGAGTATTTTCACCTGGAAGGTTTTCTCCTTACTTTCCAAAAACGGGGTCTGTGATGCACTTGCCTGCATCACAGAGTATGGTCGTGATGGGGCGGGAGTCTGGGGCTCCCACCCCATCACGGCTGGGTGGGAGGATGAGTGGCTTCTATGGGTGCATAGAAATGTCAGGCTGCTTTCCCAAACTGCCGTGATCGCTTCCCTGTCCCTGCAGTCTGAGCTTGCACTTTCTTCAGCAAGTGGTTACCAATTTTAAGTGTCTCCAATCTGATGACCGGGAGGTCTCTGTTACCCTACTGGGATTTCCAGGACTCCAGGGACCGGGGCATTTTTACTTCCTGTGGAACTTGGATCAAACTGTTTCTGGCATTCATTCTGCCCCATGCGCCTTAGTTTTATTAAACTCTGAAGAGATAAAAGAAAAAATAGGGGAGTTTAAATTGGAGGTGCAATCTGAATCACACACAATCTCACGCACTGTCAGTGTCTCTGGTAACTCCCTGTCATGAGTTTGTCCACCAAGAAGCTGAGGCGTCTCTCCAAAACCTTAAAACTGAAATAAATGGCACTTATTTCACATTTCTGTACATTTCTTGGTTGGGTGTATTCCGAAGTAGTTTACATTTTCATAATTACTGTGAGTGGAATGTCCTCCCCATGTGTGTCTAGCTGGTTATGGCCAGTTTGAGGAAAGCTATTGACCTTAGGCAGGTATGTCATGTCCAGATGCTCTTCCACTTTCATGGTTAGTTCTGGCCAGTCTGTACCAGAGTGTCCTGAGCACGTTTAGACAGACGATCATGCCAGCAGCAAGAAAAGTGGGAGAGACAGACACAGGATGTTGTATTTTATTTTATGATACAGTGGTCACTTTTATTTTCTTCTGAAATTGAAGCAGCGTTGAATATAACAGTGGGCATCTCTGTTCTCTCTCTTTTTTTTTTTCCAGTACTGGGGTTTGAATTCAGGTCCTCGTGCATGCTAGGCAGGTGCTTTTAAGCCATGCCCCACCCCTATAGTGAGTCTTAAAGTTAGGTAGTGCAAGTCCTTCCGACTTGTTTTCCTTTTTCATAATTGTTTTATCTTTTCTAAATCTTTTTCCATTTCCACAGAAGTTTGGAAACATTTTCCTAAAAAGTCTACTTGCATTTTATTTGGGATTGCATTCAATCTATAGTTCAATTCAAGGAAGATTTCCAGAAGGGAGAAAGAACTGTGGGAGAATTAGTTTGTTCTAGTAGGGAGTGTGATTTGCACAAAAGCAGTCAGAATTGTGAGGTTTGTCCTGCTCCCCCCACACCTGCCAGAGATGGCTGCCCCAGAGACAGAGAGATTCTGGTCCAATTATCTGGGGAACTGTTAGAAGATACTACTCCATGACCCAGTTTTCCCTGAATCATTGGCCTGAGATCTCCTTTGCAAATTTTGCAGGTATGACTGAAAAAATGACCACAAGGCTCCTACTTTTCTCTCGGAGTCCAGATCTGCACTGTCAGCAAGTGTCTGGTTCAGGCTAGCTCCCTGTCCTTGTTGTGACAACAATAGGGCCTTGGTCTTTTCATACCCCAACACTTGTGATAGAGTGTTAGACAGCCAGAATATCCCTGGTCTGTCAGGAGGATAGGCACCTGGCACCTAGGGGGCAGCACTCAGCTGAGCACTACTGCTGAGCATCACTGCCCACAGTGAGGGAACAGCCTTCTTAATCCTCGCATAGGAGAGGTCATCCAGCTTCCCAGTGCTGCTGCACGTAAAAGAAGGAACACCAGCTTTGCTCCTTGCCAGCCATGATGTGCGAGTACAGGGATTCCAATGATGTAAGGTCCAGCTGGCCAGCTCCCCATGCCCAGACTCTGTGGGCCTGCTGGGTACCTGCCCTGGGTTCCTGGAGTCTGGGTGCAGCTGGCTGTCCTGCTCCCTGGAGCCTCCCAGGGCCAGTACTCACTGTGCTGCTGGGATCAGGCAGTAATTACAGTCCCTGTCCTGTGGGCTGAGCCACTGGGGCATTCAGGGATGTATCTGTGGGTCCTGTGACTCAGGAGTTCATTAGAAAAGTGATGGCTGGCATAGGAGAATTAGGGCCTTGGTACCCACAATAAACGGCCCCAAACCCCAGGCCACCAGTGCCACCCACCTGTCCTGAGCTGAAGATCTTGCCCACCAGACATCTGTCCCCCACCTGCTCCTTCTCCATGTGTCTTCACATCTGGCCACTCCTGCCACTGCCTTCTGGAACCAGACCCTCTGCTGGACTGGACCCAGGGAAGGCACACACTTCCCCACACATCACTGCACACACATACACACACACACACACACACAGGCACAGAACATCACATACAACCACACAGTCACATATAGGCATAGAACAACACATCCCATAGCCACATACAGGCATAGAATAACACACACACATACACACACACACAACACAGAAACACACACACACATTCCCAGCCACACACAGATGTAAACTCATATACAAACTCATACCATGCAACCACACATAAGCACAGAACCACACACACTACAGCCACACAGGTCTAGAACCACAGACACAACCACACAGCCATAACAGGCATAGAACAACACACATACACTTACAACCACACACAGTGTAGAAACATACATATACACACATGTAAAACCATGTACACACTCACAAACACACAGCCACACCCAGGCATAGAACAACATATACACTCAACCCACACAGACATAAAACCACACACAAATGCATTCCACACAGCATAGGAGCAACCACCCAGCCTTGCCTTCTACACGTCCTATGTCCACTGTTTTCCTAATGGATGGACAGTACTGGATCCCAGGGCCAGCGGGAGGGTCAAGGAGCCCTGGACACAGCTAGTTGACCTCTGTTTTTCTGTCCCTAGGGGCCACCAAGGACATGGGAAAGATGCTTGGGGGTGATGAGGAGAAGGACCCCGATGCTGCCAAGAAGGAGGAGGAGCGGCAGGAGGCACTGAGGCAGGAGGAGGAAGAGCGCAAGGCCAAGTATGCCAAGATGGAGGCAGAGCGCGAGGTCATGCGGCAGGGTATTCGAGACAAGGTGGGCATGAGTGGTTACACATGGATGGGGGCCTGCAGGGCGGGGGGCCACTGCCAGGGAGGCAGTGCTTCCCTCACTCCTTATGCAGAGTTTGGGGAAGTGGTAGGGGGACAGGACTGCTAAGGTGACTCCAGGTGTCTGCATCTGAATGAGGTGAGCCCGTCCTGCTGCTGCCGGGAAGGCTGGTCATTCTGCTGGATGACCAGCCCCCTGCATGAGGGAGGTCTTTTTGGGGAGTTGGCTGCTGGAGCTGGTGGTCAGGGCAGGACAAGGAACCAGGGTTTCCTTCTGAGGCATCCTTGGCCTTGGGGTTAGATGGTACCCAGGGAGAAGCCTGGGCAGGTGGTGAGGTGCAGTGGGTGGGTGGGCATCCAATTAGTAGCTGTGCTGTTCCCAGTCATTTGGGTGACTGGGAGCAGAGGTGGGGCAGCAGAGACAACTGTTTCCCTGTCACTGATGGGGAAAATGAAGCCCCAGTGTGGGATCTCAAGAGTGAGGTCCACGCACCTAGTACTGTGACATACATATCACCTGTCCTTTCAGAGGATGGTCTCTGCCCATTCATCCCTCCCTTTCTGCCATGGCCAATGGAGTGAAAGTGGTAGGCGGCTGGGTGCATCCAGCTCCCTAGGCCCACACAGGGTAACCTCTCTTCCCCACCCCCATATTCCCCCCAAGTCCCAAATACACCCCATCCTCCCGCATGTGTGGGTACAGAGATCTGTTGATGGGGTGGAGCTCTGCACCCTGATACCTCCCCTCAGGCTGTGGTCACTGGACAGTGTCCTGCAGAAGCTCTTGGTGATATAGCTTTGACAGCAGCTCACACCCTGCTCTGTCCCCCACAGACCCCACATACCACAATCAGCAAGCCATACTCAGCTTTAGTCACTTGGGAGGGGGACAGGGGAATGCACTATTGACCAGGTAAAGAACAATTGTCAGATCTCACCTTTCCCAATACTGTAGGGTATTGGGAAGGAGGCAGTTGGGGCAGGAGAGGGGGAGTCAGAGACAGTGAGTATGGAACAGAGATTGAAGAGGCAGACCGAGGACCGAGGAAGAATAGAGATAAAAAGAGCGAGCCGAGAGCCACAAAATCCCCCAAGTGGAGCTGAGGAGAACTAACTGACTGCTGAGGGCAAGCAGAGGAGATGGGAGTGGAGCTTGCTGGATGCGCAGGTGTGCAGTGGCTCTGGGAATTCTGTGTATCCCTCATATTCAGGTTTGGAGCTCCCCTCCTGCCTGGCTCTGTATCTCCAGGAAGCAGCCACCCCTACCTCACCACTACATCAGACATCACCCACTGCCCAGGGAGGCCTGACCTCTCAGCCTTTTAGAAGTTCAGTGTTCTCCACTGCTGTTTTCACATATTTTCCTGGAAATTGTGAAAAAAAAATTATCTTCCAGCAAATTCAACAAGATTGTGGCAGGCTGCATATGGGGAATGCTCAATTGGAACCTCATGATAGGGTCCACTAGCCCAGACAAGGAGGGGTCTAGAGAGGGGAGGGAGAGCCTGCAGGTGTCCAAGCCCCAGGAACACCTGTGTGCCTCAGGAGGGAGGCATGCAGCAGCCCCCCATGCCTCTACCCATGGCTGTCAGAGCCTCCCTCCTTCGGCCTTGGTCACCTTCCCTGTCCCTCACAGGTAGAAACTCTGCCTGTCAGGTGTGGCTCCCCAGATGGCCATACATGGCCAGCACCTGCTGCTCACTGGCTCTGGCTCCCTCCAGCCTTCACTAGATGTGGGGTTGGGGGCTGGTTAGAGGAGGGGAGAGCTTTGGTCCAAGGCTTCTGTGCAGTGGGGGACCTCGGGCTGGAAGTCCAGTTTGCACATTCTCATGAGCACCCAGGGCCCCTGGTGACCTCTTCTGAGGAAGAAGCGGACATTCCATTCTGACTGTTTGTCTCAGGGTAGGTGCAGTTTCTGGAGGCGTGTTCCATCCCCATCATGAAGCCATCTGGGTGGTCCAGGCCACCTATGATTACCCACTGCCCACTACCTGCTTGTTTGTACACCTCATTTGCATACCCACCACTTGATTTGCATGTACTTCCAGCCAACCACCCACTGTGGGCGGCTGAGCCAGAACCTTCTGTCTGGAAAGAAGACAAGGCCCAGGCAAGGAGCTTGTATGTCTGAGCACCCACGCAGCACGTCCCTCCCTCATGTTCCCTGGTGCTGGCTAGCCTCCTTCTGAGCTTGTGGATGATGATAGGTGTGCAGGTGGGGGCCAGCAGTAGCCATTTGGTTTGGTCCTGGTATTGGCTCTAGCCATTGCTCAACACCGTGGGCTTTCTTTCAACAGTGTTCTCAGGGCCTCATGTACATCAAACACCCTACCCTGACCCCTTGTCTTGGTTTGACCCAGTGTCCAGCTACCTTGGGTATGCCTTCCAGAGGTCCTTGAGTTGGCTGGTACCTCCTATGGTCCTATCCTTGGAATGTTGCTGCTGGGGAGCTGTCACCTGACATAATGGACATCTGGCCCTGGTAGGGCTGGCATTTGTCTCTGAAACTCAGAAGCTCAGAATCAGCCACACCACATGAAAGCTCAGCTCTGGGATAGAGCCTGGCTTATACCCCCAGCAGGTGAAGCCCAGAGTGACTATGGCCTCAGAATGATTTTGAACCTCAGTGGACAGATTGGCACTTCAGGCCAAGCTCAGAGTGACCCGCAGGGGAATGGTGGGGCCTGCTGTTGATCACATGTGTTCCCTGATCACACGTGTTCTGGAGCACCTCTGCCATGAATTTGGTCTTGGGTAGCTCAGCCTCCTGGGTGGCTCACAGATTTCACCTGGCCCACTTTGCTTGTCCAGCTTGTGTCTGTGTCTACAGGGAAGAGCACTCTGGCCTGACCTAGTTTCTTGCAGTATTTCTCCCAACCCACATGCTACCCCACAAGACACTGGGCCACAGGCCCTTCCTCCTGCCCCTCCAGTGCTCTGCCTATGCAGGCTGGGCTGTCCCAAGAGGTAACCAGAAGCAGAACTGGTGCTGGAGCTGCCTGCTGACCATGGGGAGTATTCTGTCCTGTGCTAGCAGGGCACTGCTGGGGGATGGGGAACATGACTGTCCTGACAGTGGTGCTTGCCATGCCTCATTGCCTGGTCACTGGGACTGCAATCCCAACTTTGTTAAGGGAGCGGGGCTGGGAATGTCGCTCAGTGGTTAGTGTTTGCCTAACACACGTGAGGCCCTGAGTTCAATCCCCAGTACCACAACAAACAACAACAAAAAAGGGTGTGGAGGGGCAGTCTGCACACCCCTCTTCCTTTCAGGGGCTGGGGGCATGGTATCCTCTGCTATCAGCTGAAGGTGGCCCTTGTCCCCCCCCATGCCCAAGGCCACACATAGCCCCAAGGGAGAGGACAGGTACCCTTAGCAGGGGAGATGGACACAGGCAGCCTCCCTCTGGTAGTAGAGGGAGAGACCTCCTTGGAGAGACAAATGTGACTGGCACCAGGAGAGAGCTCATCCTTTCCTGTGAGAAGAGAGATGAGCCAGGAATGGCAGGGCTGGAGAAACCACATCGTATGAGCCTCAATCCCCAAAATCGCTGGCATTCACACATTCCCACATGCTCCTGACCCCCCTCAATATCTCACTGCTCCAGGGCTTTTTGTAGTCTGAGATCCGGATCTCAGACCTGAGCATGGAGAGGCTCCACCCCCCAGGCAGGTCTTGATATGGATCCACAAGGTGGATGACCAGCCCTGTCCACGTCAGAGGTCAGCTGGGCCTACCCTCTTACAACCAGCCTGAAGGGTGCTATTAGGTGACTCACAGAGACCACAGTCTCAATGGGTGGGTGGGTGGGTGGGTGGCGGAATGTGTCAGGCTCATGTTCGTGCTTCATCCAGAAGACATGGCTAGTGGGGTACAATCTCTTGAGGGCTGCCAAAGCCAGTGCCATGAAAAAGAAATTCTTTCTCTGGTTCTGGAGCCCAGAGGTCCAAAATCAAGGTTGGACAGCACCAGGCTCCCTAGAGGCTCCAGGAAGGGAACTTCTTGCCTCTTCCAGGGGTGGGGGCTCAGTGGTGTCCACATGTGTTGGCTGAGGTCATACCTGGGTGAGATTCCACCCTGGTGGCTCCAAATGACCATGCCTCGTTTACCAGCAGTGCAGAGCTGCAGAGTGGCCTGGTAGGGGCCAAGTCATGGCTGCATCCAGGCAGCCTTGGCAAAGTGAGGGTGTGAGTGCAAATGGAGGACCAAGAAGCAGAGGGTAGGTACCACTGCCTTTCTTTCTATTTCTCCCTCCCTCCCTTCACTTATTGGTCCTCAAGGCCTGACTTCTTAGGAATGCCATAGGAGTTCCTGCTCAACCAGGAGAAACAAAGCAATAGGTTTGAGAGTTCTCAGACCTCCAAGCTTCCAGGGAGGCAAGTCTGTAAGGGAAGGGGGCTGTTGGAAGAACCAGTGTTCTGGGGGGTCTCAGCATTGCCTTCACCAGGGAGCTGCAGCCTCCTCATGCCCCTGTGGCCCAGGGCAGCTCTTAGATGGGCATGCTTTGAGGGGATCATGGGGTGGGGTATGGGTCTCTGCTTTTCCCCAGCCAGGGGCACTGCCTTTCTGGGTCCCTGGGCTGTTCCGCAAGTGCGGCAGGGTCCAGCCTCTGTGTGCTGCTGTGCTCTAGAGGCTGGGGCCACTGGACCGACTGCCCTCTCCCCACAGTATGGCATCAAGAAGAAAGAGGAACGTGAGGCAGAGGCCCAGGCGGCCATGGAGGCCAACTCGGAAGGTAGTCTCACGCGACCCAAGAAAGCCATCCCGCCGGGCTGCGGGGACGAGCCCGAGGAGGAGGACGAGAGCATCCTAGACACGGTCATCAAGTACCTCCCCGGGCCACTGCAGGACATGTTCAAGAAGTAGAGCCGGCCTGGTCAGCGCCAGGAGCCGGAGAACCCGCCCCGCCCCGCCCCGCCCCCTGCACAGACCCCTGCGGAGACCCCCAAGGGATGTCGGGAGCAGATGCAACCCCCTCCCCCAATGCCAAAATAAGCCATAGTCCTAGGTCCGTCCTGCCCGTGCCCCCTCCCGCCTCGGGAGCCTCCACCCGTCCCTCCCCGCACTGCCATCGCTGCCCACACTGGGCAAGGGCGTGACCGCCAGGCCCCTGTAGCTCGTGCTGCAGGCCGGAGCATCAGCCTTGTACTCCCCTGCCCGCGGTGGTCGGACCCCCATACTGTCCTCGCGTCCACCCCCCGCTCCTCCAGCCCGCCCGAGGTCAGGCCCCGCGAGGGTCAGCCCCTCGACCACCCCTGGGCGCGCCATCCCTGTGTCGGTGGGCGCCTGTCGGGGCCCAAACTCAGGAGCACAGCCATAACGGGGGTGGGGCAGTTGTGCGGTTAGGGTGGTGCTTGGGGGCGGGCAGCGGGGCCCCACCCCCAAATCCCTCCCCCGTGGGGATTTCTGGACTTGTTGGACCTGCTGGACCTTTCTGTCCACCCGCCACCCACCCCTGTCTTTCCACTGGCGGCCCTCGAAGTCTTTGTCTTTTTCTGTCATTCCTTCCCTTTTTCGCTCGTCGTTCCGCGAGGTTTGGCTTCTTAAGAATGCCATGACGGTGTTCCCATCTCAACCAGGGGAAACAAAGCAATAGGTTCGCGGGGCTCTCAGACACACCCTCCTGTCTCTTGGCACCGCCTGTGTGACACGCACTCCCGGGAGATCTGCCTCTCTCTGGGGGCCTCTCGTCCTCTCCACGGTGTGCGCGGTGGTCTCCCAGGGAATCCCGAACCTTACCCACTGAACACCCACCTTCAAAGCGCAAGGTCCGAGAAACCTGGGGACCCACGCCCGGAAAAGAAAGACGAGCCTCGGGTATCAGCTGTCCCTGCTCGCCTCGCCCATCCCTCCACTGAAGGGCTGTAGGTGATCGGTGGGTGCAGGCCTTTGGGGTTGCACATGGCCTGGTGGGATTTGACAGGAAGATCCGGCCACCTCATCCTTGTTTAATTTGCATCATAATATGTTGAATCTCAGGTAAATGAGGTCTTCTGTATTTGATGAGTTTTATCTTGACAGAAAGGCCTTCACCTCGGTCTCCCCAGCCCTTTCTGTCCACATCAAAACTGCATTCAGTGTTCGTGAGTTGCGGGCCAGAGGCGTGGCTTGGCATTGACCTTCATGACCTTACATAGCTCTTTAGAGAAGCCATAACAATTAGACTGCAATACTAACCACGAACGCCCTCTGTCCAAAGAGATGACGCATGCCCGGCGCACGCATTCGCGCGCCCTGCTCGCCCCGCGCCGCCCTCTGCGCCTCCCGGTCCGCGTCTTTTTAAAATGCCTGTTTTCACACGTTGAAAAGCCGGCTCCCAGCAGAGCTCTCTCGCGTGTCAACCCCGCATTCGGCTCCCAGCGCATGGGGTGCGGGGCCGCCGAGCTTAGCGTAGATCGCGGTGTTACCTGTCCGTCTGTCCTTGCGCCTACGCCTTCTCCTGCATGTCGGGGGGCCTCGTGTGTGTTCTCTCCGGATGGAATCACAGCCAATAAACAGTGATTTCACACCGTGTGGCCATTCCTTCAGGGCTCCCACTTCACCCAGCAATGCCCGCCTGGCTTGCAGGTTGCCCTTGCCCTGCCAGTTAGGAGGCACTGCTGCTCACGCTGGGGCGACTGCGGGTGTCTCCAAGATCCCAGTCCATTCTCCGGAGGGCAGAGCTGCCCCTTCAGGGTCCCAGCGCCCAGGGCGAGCCTCCACAAGGGTCAGACTTCCTCACAGCTCTCCCAGATCCTGGGGGCCTAAACTTGAGTTCCTGCCCAGCCCCAAGATCACGCTCCTGCTTGTGGGGCGATCTCTTTTCCCTGGAGCATCAGGTTCCACACCTTTCTGAGATGGCTGTTAACCCAGGCTGAGGCTGGATATTGTGACCTGTCAGCTCTCTGGCCTGGAATGGGCACCCCAACCCAAGCCCACAATGCCCTGTACAGCCCAACTTGGAGGTGCTGAGGCTTTGTCCTCAGACAGGTTTGATTTGATCTCTCTTTCTGGGGCCTCTTTCTTGGAAGCCAGCACATTTGGGTGTCCTGTGATGTCCACACAGGGACCTTCCAGGAAAGCCTGCCCAGTCTTAGTGGGCAGAAAGGCCACAGGTGCCCTTCTCCTGCTGTGGTCCTCCTGGAGTGACCCTGCTCTCTTTCAAACAGAAAGGATGCCTCCAATGTTCCTCCCATGGCTTCTGGGGGAGTGGACACAGTCATGTCCTTCCCACTGCCCAGTAGGCCGTAGACACATCCAGGCCCCTTCCATTGATTCTGAGGGAGTGGACCCAGCTCCAGGCATCTCTGAGCTGACCAGGTGACTTTCCACCTGCTGAGGCTGCAGCAGGCCCTCCTTTCTGGAAGTGCATCTCAGACCAAAGTCTCTTCAGGAGATCTGTGGCTTTGCTGCAGGCTGCTCCTCATCCCAGACCCATTGCTAGCATCCACTCCCCTCCATCCTTGTGCCCCACCTCACAGCCTGGTTTGGATCTCTCTTGAGCCCAAGCAGTAACCTTGGATGTGCTACCTGACCCAGAACCTTGACCAGCTGCTTGTCTAGCAATGAATGGGTGCCACCCTGGCCACAACTGTCCTGAGTTGTGTTCTAAGGCCCCAGGATAATCAAGGTCCCTTCCCCATAATTGGTTTTCTAGTGATGAGAGATGCGTTAAATATATACTGTAATAATTGGAACTTCTGCTTGGAGGAAAATCGAACGGGATAAGTGGGCAGTGAGCAATGATGAAGCTGCTATTTATGAGTGGTCTGGAGGGTCCCTCATAGGGAGTGATGTGCAGAGACCCAAAGGAACGGATGCAGGGACCACGTGGGCAGAGCAGTGAGACTGGGGTGTTCTGATAGGCTTCACTGTCTTCAGCAGTCTCTTTCCCTCTGGACATTTAATGCATCTTGAATGGTATTGCATGCACTTGAAGCTGCTTTTGCTCCAGAAACTGTCTTCCAGTGTCTGGTCACATCCTCCGTCGCAGCTCTTGCAGGCTGCCAGCTCCTGGTGGGCCCAGTAGGGCTCTGCTTGGACTTGGTTCTTCCCTCCCCTGGGGACCTGCACTTGAAGGGCAGGAGGCACTTTCAATTACAAACCACCAAGGCTTTCCGGAGAAATTTTAAAAGGTCCAGCAATTAAGGACCATTTTGTCTAGCTCTGCTAATCCGTAGCTAGACAAATCCTGCTCTCCACCACGAAGCCAGCAGGGTCAAGGAATCCTGGGTCTGGGCCACCTGTCCACACAATTTGGAAACGGCTCTGCTCCAGTTCTCAGCCGGCTCCCATCAGTTCTGAAAGGAGGGGACGGTTCCGGTGAGCCAGTTTTGCCAGAAGGGATGGTGAAGGCTGCCAGGTGACATGACCCAAAGATAGAAGGGACCTTGGGGCAGGACCCAGGCCCAGTGCCAGGCGAGGCGCCTTAGAACCATGTCCCTTATTCAAATTCGCCACTGCCGGATGCCGCACGTGGCGTGGGGCATCGGTAGACCGCCGCAGCCCGGAGCATCGGGCATGGAGGGGGAACTGCCGGCATGTAGGCCCTGCCCCTGCTTGAGCTGATCATGGAGTGCCACAGCGGGCTCCATGAGGCCCCAAGAGGGTCACATGTGGAAGCCTGACCAATTAGAGCCAGAAGATGCCATTGCCTCGCCCCCGTGGCCCCCACGCAGGTCGGGGATCTGGAGGAGGGCTTCCCTCCCAGGGTTCTTCTGCCTGGTGCTCTCAGTGGCCTCACCTGGCCTCGGATTTCTTCTGACCCTCCCTGGTCCCGTCTCCTCGGCCACGCCCCCTCACCGCCGGCTCCTCCCCTTTTGTTGCTTTCTCACTTCCAGGCTTTGCAAGGGCCCTTGCCTGCAGGTTTGGAGCCCTCTTTGGCCCTCAGGCCGTTGACCCTACCACGCCCACAACGAAGAAGTCCATGGGGTCCCTTCCCAGACCCCCTCCCAGCCTGGGCTTCCCCTTTTAGCCCACCCACCATCCTGCTGACTAAGGGACCCTCATGCTGTGCCAGGACATGTAGGAGACAAGCCAGGCATCCACTGACCCCTGGCTCTGGGTGGAGGACAGGAGTTGTGGGGTGTCTGTCACGGTGGCTGCCCAGACCCTGTGAGATATAGGTTCATCTTGTGGAGGACAGAACCTGGGGAGGGACTCCAGCTCTGCACAGGTCCCACTGTGAAGGGTGGGCTGGGTGGGTGCAGCTGGCCAGTCAGGAGCGCTTCACTCTTCAGTGGGTCTGGTGCTGAAGCTCAGGGAAGGCTGGTGGCCAGGGGGTGGCCAGAGTACTGGGTGTCCCCAGTGTTCATCCCAGATTGATGCCGGATGCTGCCAGTGGTTCCCTGGTGGTGTCTGGGATGGTTTCTGTACCCCAGAGTCTGTGGCATCAGAGTTGAAATTCAAAGTAAAAGACTATCTCTTGCACCCTTCAGTGTGTTCACTGAGATTTATGCTGCTCAGAGAGCAAAGGACTTTGCCTGAGGAGGTTGAAGGGCCTGGTCAGCTGGAAGAAGGCCTACAGCTGGGACTGGATAGGAAAGGGCCTGACAAATGCAGGGGGAGGGTCTGCTGCTCCTAGAATGAGATGGGGGCAACAACTCCCCTCCACACTCTAAAATGGACAGTGCACAGGAGGTTCTGAGAAGGCAGATGTCCAAATGTTGCTAACTGAGCTTCGGTGGAGCTGGGCATGAACCTGTTTCACTGTAAGAGGACTTTGGTGTTGGACCCTGGCAACAGAGCATGCCTCCTCAGCACCCTCCCACAAGGAGTGCCTGCACTCCAGAATCTGGGTCTCTCAAAGGAGTCCTGGACTTCAGGGTCTGTCAGCCAGAATTCATCCTCTGCCCACACATGTCCACCAGGCGCTGGTGTGGGGTCCA